CACAACACTCACTTCATGTAGATATTGTATGGTTGCATGCATTATGCAATTTCCTCAAAAGAAAAGCCTGATACACAGCAAGCACATATTAGGGTAGCCAAAGGCAGTATGGAAAAGTTAGGGACTCACCAAGCTATGGGCAGACCTTCAGCTAAATTCAGTGAAGACACCACTACATTGAAAAGGAGAGTTTCTCCCATTGGCTTAGTTAATCCTCCTCCTTGAGATTGGGTTGATGGGAGATACCCTCCCATCAATATTGTGCTGTCTGCCGCAGGTTTAGGTTGACATAACTGCATTGCCCAGCATATCTTCCCAAAGACACTACACAACAACCCAGATGGAAACCACAGTGGTAGCTAATATAGGAATGACAGTGTCTTTGTATATGTAAATAGGTAAGGTGTCAGCAGATGGTGGCTAAGAATACGTAGCATAGCTCCTGAGTTTCATGGGACCAATACTTGTACGCTGCAAATGGTTTTCTATGGCAGCTTTTTAAATCAACTCTTAAGAGCAGCTAGCAATCCTTGCAACTTTATTAGGGTCACTGCATCTATATGATCACAGATCTCAGAGTCTCTGCCTTGAGTCCCTGCCTTGAATATCATCCTCTGCTCTCATGCAGATACTTGTCTGCTGTGGATTTGGTCATGTGGAAGCACCTAGCAAAACAGGGCAATTTTTCCCTAAAGGAAATAACGTAACTACACATTCATAAAATGAATAAACAAATGCCATGCAATATTGCTTTTTAGAAAGGATCCTGGAGTTGCCATACAAGTATATTGTTTTCGTACATGCTACTTTACTGCCTTAGAAGCAATTTGCATAATATTCCAATTTATATTTTTGATCTTTCTTTTGAAATCTGTTACTTCTGGCAGGCACCTTAATATAATTATACGTTAGCTCAAGATGATGACACTTTTCACTGTTTCTCTGTGCTGAGCAGTCAGAGGAAGGGTGAACCATATGCACCAATGATTGCACATTGAGCCTGGGGAGACCTTTATGAAGGCCCTTATCATCTCATTGTATGATTAAGTCATTTTTTATGGTCTGGATGCCAATTTGCCTCATCCATAACAATTGAAAGGGACATGGGGGGAGACTCAAAAAAAGAAATTAATATTTCCCTAGCAAAAGCCAGAATCAATATACTTCCTTATGAGAACATACGCTGTGAGTCAGCTTGTTTGCAATTTTGCTGTACAATACAACCATATACATGAAGGATTTTGATTAGCTCAAGTATATCACACCATGTAAGTTGTAAAAGTAAATACATACATTTGGGGACAAATTTTAAAGTCTCTACTCAGGAAATTTTCAATTCCCTTCATGTGGGCATCAGGGGATTCCTCAGCTCAAAAGGCCAGGAAATTTTAAAAAAAACTAGATTAGACTCCACAGACAGTGACAGTTAGTTACAAGCATGAGACCAGGTAACATGTGATAAACAGGGCAATACTTAACTCCTCTGTCCCAAAAGTGCTATGGTTTGTTACAAAAAAATTGCCAAAGTTGACAGCCTTAAAGTATTCTTTACTTCTCTCTGAACTCATTTCTTTCATTCTGTTTGAACCAGAAAGTGTCACTGATCCTCCATGGCAGATTCCACTTTTCTCCCTTCCACACCTTGAAGTAACAGAAGGTGGTTGGGGTCCTATTATAGAGATGTGATTTTTAGCCTTCTCTTCCTCAGGTGTGTGGTGGACACAGCCTGTTGCAGCAAGCTGGCTTGAGTTAAATAAAAGATTATCGACACTATACAAACAAGTCACCACAGCAGTTAAATAGCAAAGGAAATAATAATAAATAATAAAGGAAAAATAGTGCAAGTGTTTCAAGATGTGCCCTTCGTAACAATATAAACCTAAACAAATTATATGACGATTTGAGAAATTTTTTATTTTAGTATTCTGGCGAGGCACCTCTTTTCTTTTTCTATAGAGCATTTGGTCAGGCCAACTGAACCCTGACCATGCCTGTCAGTTTTGGGTGAAGTGTAAGTCAGGGCTGTCTGCTGTCAGTTCAACTATATTCTCTGGCTATTGAACTCTTCCACTGGACTCTGACAGGGAGCCAGAGCTGTGGCTGGTTGTCAGTGTATGCCAATGCTGTACTTCTTGTGATGAAGGACCCAGGTGGTCTAGGGCAGATGGAGTCCTGCCAGACAATCTATGTGATAACTTCTTCTGCTCAGCCCCATTGGGTTAAGAGCTCTGGCTTAGTGGTTGGAGATGTGGAGCATTAGGTCCACTGCTCTCTCTTGGCATTTGTCTTTGTGCCACAGATACATCTCTGCTGGAGAATTGGCAAGATTTGGAGGACAAGGTGGCTGGGTGGCTAAGGAAGTGAATGGGACTGCTCCAGTGCCTCTCCCTTTGGTGCGGGGTGGGGCACTAATGCTAAACCAACTGGTCCTGATCATGCAGTGGTACTGGCTTAACACCCTGTGCCTGACCCTGGTATTCCTGGCTTATCTCCAGAAGCTGGTACTGGAGTTATTTTGGCCAGGACTGCACTGAGTCTCTGCAAGGGTTTTGCATCTTCCTCTGATGGACGAAAGACCAGGACTGACATGCTTGAACATGTAGGTCTTTGTCTTCTGTCTCCAGGTCTTGAAGAACTCCTTTATGGTACAGGTAGTTCAGCATGGAGCACATTAGCGCTATTTCTGAGGGCTCCGATATGACTAGCAGCTCTTTTATCTCCAAGAGGTCTTCCACAAGACCTTTCTAGATTGCCAGTCTTCCACCAGGACCTCTTCTGGACCATCTGGTTTAAGCCACCAGGTCCATGATGGTCCCTGTGGGGACAGAGCGCCTCACAAAGCCCCTGCTGCAAAATCATCAACTGCTTTCAGTCTGCACTATAATCCCTTAAGATATGCAAAAGAAATTCTGTTTGTATGAACTTTTCCAAACTTGCCCTCAGTTCACAGCTGGTTTTGTACAGACGTTACATAACTGTAAAATAGCTGAATTGTTGTTCCAAGTAAAAGTATATATTTGTTTTTTGAGAGTAATTTAAAAACTTGTTCTGCACATGACTCAAAAAAAGTCACTGAACATCAAGCTCTGCAACTTTCCATGCAGCCACCCCTTACTGATGGAAATACCACTGGGTTGAGGTAGGTAGGCAAAACTTTTCATTCAAAAATATTTTTTCAGCAAGAAATACACATTCAGTGACACACACAAGGCACAAATTTGTGAGGATGTCACTGAATTTTTTCAGGAAAATAAAGCAGTTTGAGTTGCCCTTTTTTTCACCAGAACTGGCAGCAAATCTGGAAGAAAAAAAAATTATTCATCCAGCTCTACTTCTGGTCCTTTCAAATTGAGTAGCCCCGCTGTGATTTATATCCCAGATGGCACCAAGTAATTGTAAAATCCTGGATATAAAAAGTTCTTTGTGCACTCTCTATTAGTATGAGATTACTGGTTCTGGGTAGATATGGGCAGCAGTAATAAGATACATATCTTTTCCCATCTAAGTCACTGGTATGAATGTAAGTCATGAACTAGATGAATACTGGGGGAAAAACGGAATTTAAACACATTCATTCACATTTTCTTAACAAATTAACTTTCCCTGTTGTGATGTAGTGAGGGTGCTAGTCTCTTTTGTGGTGCTGGATCCACTCTGGTTTTGCATTCACTGGTTGCTTTGTTGTGCTGATGTGATCCCTATTGGCCTATGCTGGTCTACAGAGACTCTGTGTGTGTCTGTGTGTGCAGTGCCTAGCAGGGGTTGGGTCCATGTGGGAGGACTCCTGAGGGAAGGCATGTAGGCAGTGACCCAGCCGGCCTGACACCTGGGCTAGGTGGAGGAATATGAACAAAGCAAGAGGCAAGGCTGCCTGGGGGCTGAGTGACCAGTTGCTCAGAGTGCGGGTTAGTCTCGGCTCGGCTAGGATGAGGAAAGGAAAGTGAGAGCAGAAAGGAGGTTAAAGGGGCCTGCGAGCCCCTATCCCCAAGAGGAATAAAGCTGTTTGCTCTTGGAGCTTATGCTAACATCAGTCCTATGCTACGCTGTGTCCCTAAGAACCAATAAAACCTTTTAATCTACTGGCCAGATGAAAGTCACATCTGGCTGCAGATGGGGGTGCAGGGTCGGGGACCCCCAGACATGCCATCACACCCATATCCATGCCTCTTTCTGGTTCACTTCTATTAAAATGCAAGAGTAGAGATGTTAACCGGTAAGCATGATGCTCATTTGTATTTTTACCAGTTAACTGGCTCTTGCCAGTTAACTCTGGCAACAACCAGTGGTTCTAAGTTGGAACAGCCCCGGCTGTTGAAGGACAGTTGGTGGTACCCCATCTGAAGCAGGGCCCCACGATAGCTGCAGGGGTGAAAGCCGGGATCTAAATTAAAACGGATAACTGGTTATGTACTATGATATAAGGGGTTAACTGTTTTACGATCCCTATTGCAGAGAAAAAAAAACTAACTGTGAGGAGTCTTCAGCAAATATCAGATTTTAAATGAACATTGCAAAATATTCACAGAGAATAAATTTTTAATTGCAAACATTTGCACTGGAAAACTGATTCTAAGAGTTCTGTTCAGCCAGCCAGGGAATGGAAACACCTCCTTATGCTTTTTTTTCAAAATAAATTGGTTATTAAAGGGAGAAGAATACCAAATGCCTGAAGCAATAATCACTTGCAAATAATCTGTGAATAGTCTACAGGGTGAAGTATGCTTGCATAAAAAGCCACAGAAATTGTGATAATGGAACACAGCAAACAGCAAAAAAAGTGTTCAATATGGACAAATTGCTACAAATAGGTCATGCAGCTCTAGTCATAAGTAACTGGGTATTTATTGTTACTCCTTGGCAGCTGTTCACTATATCTGTATGAAATAATTTGATGCTTAGTTTAGTCCTGATGGAGAGCTCCCTTTACATATATGACCACAAAAATAGATAATAATATATCACACACTGATATTCAAAATGTACCTTATTATATTTTTCAGACACTGAGTTATGTGCCAGTCCAGTTCCCATTGATTGCCTTCAGTGAAGCAGAATGAATGCTGAAACCCACTCTTGTTCCAGCAAGGTACTTCAGCACATATGTAGCTTTAAGCATGTGATCTAGGAGTTAGAGTGGACCATAAGCTAAATATGAGTCAACAGTGTGATACTGTTGCCAAAAAAAAAAGAGAGAGAGAAAACATGGCTCTGGCATGCATTAACAAGGGTGTTGTGAGCAAGACACGAAAAGTCATTCTTCCACTCTACTCTGTTCTGATTTGGCCTCAATTGTAGTATTGTGTCTAGTTCTGGGCACCACATTTCAGAAAAGATGTGGAGAAATTGGAGAGAGTCCAGAGAAGAATAACAAGAATGATTAAAGGTCTAGAAAACATGACCTGTGAGGGAAGACTGAAAGAATTGGGGTGTTTAGTTTGGAAAAGAGAAGACTGAGAGGGGACATGATAGCAGGTTTCAAGTATCTAAAAGTGTGTTACAAGGATGAGGGAGAAAAATTGTTCTCCTTGACCTCTGATGATAGGACAACAATGGGCTTAAATTGTAACAAGGGAGGTCAGGTTGGACATTAGGAAAAACCTCCTGTCAGGGTGGTTAAACACTGGAATAAATTGCCCAGGGAAGTTGTAGAATCTCCATTACTGGAGATATTTAGGGGTAAAGGTTGGATGAACATCTATCAGGGATGATCTAGATGATGCCTGGTCCTGCTGTGAGGGCAGGAGACTGGATCTGATGACTTCTTGAGGTCCCTTTCAGTTCTAGTATTCTATGATTAAGCATTGTTTTCCTCCTGCCTCACAACCACATTCTTCACAAACACACTAGTCGGCATGAGAGTGTGTCTGCTGAGGGGAGGGAAGAGGAGGGGAGGAGTGGAGTGGAGTGGAAGGGGGGAATCATTAAAAAAATCAAAATCATTTTTAAGTAATGAGTGCAATAAAAACTCTTTAAACTGCTTATGTACTTAAGTACTGTTTTTAGAAAGCTCTAATTATTGTGATTGGTCCTCTTGATATTTAATCACAGTACAGTGGATAATATCTGCTTTCAATCTTTTGTGAAAGTTTGCTAACATCATCATTCCTAGATCAATTAATTGGGAGGAGCAGTTCATTTTCATTTCAGTATAATCAGCAAGGTTAGACTAGCTTTGTGTTTTCTGTTTCCCCACAGTCTGTTTCCCCACAGACTGTAAACATATTGCTTAGTGCTCTGTATTTAGAAAGTGTTTGTCCTGCCTAGTACCCAGTTGTCTTTCAGTTCCAAATTTTACTATATTTTCTCAAGATTAGCATTCTTCCAAGGTTCACTGCCTTTGCTAGTAAACCACAGTAGACAAGAATATGATGGCATTATCTATTAAATAGACATATTCTGAACTGGATTGTCATCACTCTATGTCACTATAGAATATACAATTCAGTTATGTCAGCAACTTCTAATATTGTAGTGCTCAGAGTGTTTAGGGAAAAACCCTAAGGCTTCAAGGTGCAATAGTATTTATAAAAATCTGATAGCAAAATTGGTGTCTCTATTCATTGTTCTATTAATTGGATTTATTTAATAGTACAAACAAGTGCCCTTCCTTCCTGTATCATATGAAGAATAACAAAACAAAGGTACTTTATTTAATTTCTGATATAATTTTGAAAGTATATAGCTTTCTGAACAATTTGGATTTTCTGGGATAGTTTTATTATTTTTATGATGTGGAGTAGAATCCAATTTACTTAACACACACAAATAAAAGGAGCAAGATTGCCCTATTCTGTAATAAGCTCTAGAAACAAATGTCTGCCAAGCCTTTCAAGTGTTGGGAGCCGTAGGAATCGATCCATGCATTCTCAATTGTATATTTCCTAATGTGGTCTCTTATTCAGCCATACACATAACATTTGCCTAATATCAAACATGAAAGCAGTTCCGTGAACTTCAGTGAAGGACTTGAAAGTAAGTCAATGGAATTACCACATGGGTGGAGTTTGTAATAAGCTCAGGTACTTTGCTGAATGAGGGCCTTTTTGAAATTTCACAATAATTTCTCTCTGTATGGTGTGACAGCCTGCTCTTGTATGGCCAAAAGTAGCTCAGGGTATGTCTACACCAGCCCTCTAGTTCGAACTAGGGAGGCTAATGAGGGCGACCAAAATTGCAAATGACGTGCAGGATTTAAATATCCCACACTTCATTAGCATGTTCCTGGGTGGTTGCCATTTTGGAAATTGACTAGCCCGGAATAACTGCCCGCATTCTCATTCATCAGTGAAATGGGAGTTCAAAGTAAAGCCCTTAATTCGAATTAGCTGTTAAACTCCCGTTTCACTGCTGTGTGAAGACGCGGGCAGTTATTCTGGGCTAGTCAATTTCCAAAATCACAAACCACCCGGGAACATGCTAATGAAGTGCAGGATATTTAAAACCTGCGCTTCATTTGCAATTTCGGTTGCCCTCATTAGCCTCACTAGTTCAAACTAGGGGGCTAGTGTAGACATACCCTCACAGTGTCTAATCCCACATAAGAGACTTTTCAAAGTTAGTACTATTAACCTCTTCTCTATGGCTACGTCTACACTGCAAGGTTTTGCGCAAAAACAGCTGTTGCCCAAAACCTCTTGCACAAAAGCACATCGCTTTGCTTAAGAAGCATGTAGTGTAGACGTAACCTAGAAGCTTCCCTGTAAAATATGTAACTAATAGATGCAGAAAAATATATAAACAATTCAAATAAATTGATAACATAATTTAAATCCAGATGTTCAAACATGCATAGTACTTATTTATAATTTTTGGTGCTTGAATCATACCTTCACAGTAAAAAGGAATGTTTAGCAACAATATCTCAGCTAACTTAAATATGGGGAAAATACTATCCTGCATCCCTGCATGGGTGCCTCATAAAGTGGGATATGTTCTCAATTGCTTTCCCAAGAACCAAGATGGGTGCCTACTTATTGTACCTTTTGGAACTAGGCAGTTAGCCATCCTGAAGGCATGATAATAACCTGTCATTCCTCCAATATCTAGTGCCAGCTGGAGCTTGCATAGAAGTGTACAAAGGTAAGGCGTATTGCAGGTACATTGTCTCCTGGTTTCATGAATAATACTGCTTTGTATTAGCTGGATACCTCCCAGACTTATTAGCCACTAACCACTCTTCCTGTATTCCCCTAAGCAAATTCTTTTTCAATTAGGGTAGGATTTCCGTGGAAATTTTTACATGTAGCTCTTTTTATCTGCAACAGGTTGCACTTTATATTACACTGGGTGACTCCAAAAAGACACAATACCATATCACACAGTTAAAGAACTTATTTCAGATATTCATAAAGACATAGCATAATGGTCCTCTAGCATCTGGAATTGTTTGCTATTTGATATAAAGCAGAGGGGAATCCAGTGCCAGAGCATGCTAAATGTATCCAATACTTACTTTCTACTGTAACTAAATATAATAAGAATACAGCATTAAAGGCTCCCAGCAATGCTTTCCTAATTGGCTTAGTCAACTCCAAGTAACTCACCACAACCATGATAGCAAGCACAAAAGAATACTCCAACAATAAAAAAGCAAAAAAGTAATTCTATAGTAAATACGTTTGAATCATAGGGCACTACAATCTGTGCTTGGGAGTCACTCTTTACAAATAAGTAATGGATTTGCTCATTCTTTACTTCAATACAATAAATAATTTGTATGAAGACTGTTCTTAAATCTATCTTCATTCTCATTCTAAATCCAGATCTCTCAATGAGACTTCTGCATGAGAATGAAGAGAAAAATATCCTTAAGAATGTATGGATATTTCTTTCAGAGAGGGTATATGAGAGAAAAAGAAAGAAAATATATATGAGAGTGCTCATGAAAAATACTTCAGTGTCACCCCATATATCAATGTTCTTTCTATATCTGGAGAATATCCGTAGATATAGCAGGCACTAACAATACAGATTCTGCCATTTTGTCCGACCAGTAGATTTCAGCCCGGAACTGAAGGAAACATCTCTACAGGTGAAAGAACAATTTAATCCTTGTGCCATTTCAGTCTGACCTTTCTGTTGAAATTACCAATAGGAGTGCTAATTGATGGTAGTGGTTGTTCTTCATGTTGTAATCACCTATCTACTAGGAGCTGGACTGAGATAGAAGATACTGAACATCATTGGATAGGAACAATTTTTTGGCAATAAGTTGACCTGGACTAAATTAAAAGGAGGTTATTCACCCTGTGCAATGCTCCACTCCGGGTCAAGGTGCATCCCTGTGCCTTCAATCACAAATTTTCACAGCATGGCTGTACATTCACAGTGCCTGCCTCATGTAGTGTCAGTTCTTGAGTAGTGCATGCATTGCCTGGGCTACTCAGTTCCCGCTCTATAATGGAATGTGCTCCAGATTCCAAAATAAAGGGAGCAGGGTGAATAGTGGTGCACTCACAGGGATGGTCATCTCATAGAACATCGGTTACTGCACATAGTAAATGCAGTAACTCTTCTCTTTTGAGAGATGTCCCTGTGAATGCTCCACTCCAAGTGATTGCTAATCGATATCTCTCTGGATGGCTTGGACTTCAGATCAGGTTAAAAAAAAGTTAACAAGAGAGCTCTACCCAGTCTAGTGTCCAATGACAGGCCTTGCATGAGAGCATCATGCTTTGCAAATGTAGGGTTTGATGCCCAGGTGGCCACATTGCATATTTTGTAAAATGGAATGTTACAGAAAAGGGGCAACAAAAATGGATCAATATCTACTAGAATGTGCCATAGAAAGGTGGACTTGTTTCAGTTGTTAACAGACATATGCAGCCTGATATCCATTTGGATAGTCTCTGGGTAGAGATAGAGCTAATCACAGGCCAAGGCTAAATGATGTTTCCCTATCCAGATGGAAGCATAACACTCTACAGATGTCATGTGTGTGTATTGCTACTTCAGGTGAACCTGAGGCAGAAATTTAGGATGTGTGCTGAGTTTGATTTTGTCACTAAAGAAAGTAGTGTCCAACCATAAATACTCCAAGTTCTTCTATGCATCTGACAGATGTATTTGCCACTAAGAAGGCAGTTT